AACTCCACAGCAAAGGCCTTCTTCCTTTCCCTAGTAGGCGATCTTCACAAGGTTCGCAGGTATTTCTTGCGGAAAACGGCCTGTCAATATCAATCTCATGTCTATGGATATGTGTGCACATTAGAAACAAAGTGCAGCCCGCTGAAGATTTTTCATCTGTAGGTTATACTTGAATCAGAAGAATTCAGAACGAACGACGTGCAACTCCATAAATAGGTAAAACAGCGTGAGACTTCGTTAACAAATTCGCACAAGAAAGAATAAAAACCAAATTAGACGTGTCAGAGTCCGTTCTACAAACGGGTTACACATGGGAAAATAATAAAAAAACTGTGGCTGGAACCTGGTATGCACCTGCGCGCCCACTGAAAGCCACAAATAGATCCGTGGCTAGGTCAGAAGCAATCTGTTGCGCATCCCTAGCGTTTTCCGAACGTTCGATCCAGTTTAATAGGTTACTGGCTGTGCGATGAGGGGTGGAACTCCGTCTTTCTGTCTTACTAGAGCAAATTCTAACAGTAACTTCAATTTTGTTCCGTTTTGGTGCCTTCGGGGGTTGTTATTAAAATTTAAGTATTTCTATATTTGAATGTACACAATTTTTTGCAAAAACCTTGGAGCGCCCCGAGCGAATTGCTACGTAGAGATGTTACGCTTATTTCTTCCTGGAAATTTTCGGAGTCACCTTAAAGTATCGTTTTGTTAGTAAGATGTTTTTATCTCTCCTGTGGCGCACAGCTTACTATAAACTGTCTAAGTTGTCACCCTGTTGTTCGCTGGCTTTCTGATAGCACCTATTCCTGTAGGTCCGACGTTACCCTCAACTGAACTAGCGCATGCCAGGGGGAAACCGAATTCTATGTTTTAACCACGAATATTCTTCCCTGTTGGGAATTTTTGGGTTTGTTGTTCTGTAGTCATTACAGAAAGCTGATTAAGTAGATCGCAAGTTTTTGCGCTTGGGTTTATTGATTCCAGCAAACTTCATAGGGGCTGCAATTTTGTGTCATGAGTGATATGACTACAATGCACCGATCTATGAATGAGCTCATACACGGTTTTGACGAGATTGGAATCAATTGGGTGAATTTTCATTTTGGTGATGAATGGTGTGGAGTTTTGTACCTTTTTCACTTCCACGATGACGATGCCTGTTTCCTCAGCTGCGTAAAGCACTTGTATTTGAATACTAAAAAACTACAAAGACGAGCATTTGTACAATTTTGTGCAAGACAATCGGGGTCATGGACTTCGACTCTTCTGATTTCGCTCGCGCTCACAGCGGTCATTCGCGAGTTTCATGTGCTAACTCTGGTATCAAAACATCTTAGTCTATCTTCCGAATTTAGTATATGTGAGAACTGTTCAGAACAAGACTCCTGGAAAACCATGGCTGGATTATTGTTCATTCGCTTACCTGGGTCAGCGAAGAACTATTTTAAAGGGGAACATTTCTAGTGAATCTGTTCTATCTGACCTCTTTCTTATTGTATACTCAATCTACAGTTGTTATTTTCACTTCTTTGCCACACACTCCTTATAAAGAAGCTATTTAGTTAGCCAGAGCAAATATCGTAACCGCTGTCGGCCTACTGAGCCGCAGAGATATATAAATGTCCTGTATTGAAAACCCGTGTGGAAACAGGGTTTGTTGTTTGATAAATGAAAGTGCGAAATTGTTTTCTTTGCGCGCACTCATTCGAAAACAGGGCCGCGCCTAAATTTTTATGCTACTGATGTTAATTTGATGCTGAGAAGGAGGCATCACTGTTGTGAATTATGTCCACGTCTCATGACTACTGTCATTTACAACGTGCACCAAGACGTAAGCTAAAATTTGCACGTTCGTTGCAGATTTTTCCCCTGCAGTTCATTCCACGCTCTATGTGCTCATTTATCTGTGGTCGTTTGTTGAAGGCACATTTGCACCACAATTGTAGTTTGCGTTCTTTCTCATAAATTCGGTACACACCGTGACCGTTTGTGGTAATTTGAATAGTGGTAGGTATCGAAACTACCGAATGTACGCGAAGTATAAAAGTCCGAATATGGACGAATGAATATCGTATATCTTCGTATATCGCGGGCGTACTATATATCGCAT